TTTTTATTTTTTAGATTATTCTTAGAGATATCAAGAAACTTTAAAGAGTAGTTAGAACCACATTAAAAAATATACCTTATACTTTATCTAATCTGCCACAGTCTCACAGGTCTTATATTTGTTCATTATTTCAAGAGTGATCGGGTTATACAGCTAGTTTATTATAAAAATTGTTAATTGAATATTGTTATAAATAAATAAAAATAAATACTTATAATAATATTTATTTGCATGTATACCATACCTACAATCTACATAGTAAAAATAAAACATTTAAGTAATATGCAACACTCCATGTAACTATAAGCCATAAGCGTGTATTGGAGAGTTGAGTTCAATCTATAAAGTTAGCTAAACAATAATGTTATATGTATGTCTGAAAGAATATAACAAAAATAATTGAAAGAAACATAAATATTTGTTCAAAAATTGTTAAAATCTAAATTTAAAATTTAAATTTCTTAACTTTTGAAATAATATAAATWAAAGTTAATTTTATACCTACATTAATTTCAATACAATAATATAATTGTTTTCAGGAGAGCCAATTAACCATGCCACCGGATATGGAAGAATAGCATTTGCAGTTCCTACATCTGAGTTAAAAAGTTACCAAGAAAATGCCTTAAATAATCAATATAAAATCTTAACTCCTTTTGTAACCTTAGATACGCCAGGAAAAGCTTCAGTTTCGGTGGTTATTTTTGCTGATCCTGTAAGTTAAATTGTCTCAGTGCATATTAAATTAAATTRATTATTTAAGTTATTTTTTATACTAAATGTTTGATTGTAATCCATGGAAAATAATCAATTTGTAATTTTTTAGGATGGACATGAAATATGTTTTGTTGGAGATAAAGAATTTCGTGAGTTATCTCAGTTTGATCCAAGTTCTGAAAAGCAATTAGACAAATATATTGTTAAAGATGAAGCAAGAAAATTGAAACATTAAATGTTTGTKATAGCAACATTTTTTTTTAAATTTATGTTTCTAAATTTGTATAACCAACATACATTTCTATAGTTTTATACTTATATTGTTGTACATGAAATAATGTTAAAGATAACGGGTTAACTTATTTTGAAAATTAAATAATATTTATAATACCCAATATAAAATATTGTTGATATATTGAAAATATATTGAAAATATCTCATAAAATTATCCTGAAATATAAATGTTATGTTCAAAATAGGTATAATATTTCATGTTTGGCAATTTGGCATTAGGTGTATTTGTTTTATATACAAGAATATTATTTAAAACAAAAAAAATAATAAGATATTTAATCTTAAGACGTTTATAATTTATTACAAATCATTAAAGCATTTACATTTTTAATTGCAATGATTCTATTAAATATTTTTAATAACAGTGATTTACCGCGGTCGTGAACACGAGTAATAACTGATCCACAACCACTTCAGTTAGTTTTGTAACAATATGCGTTATTTTCGATCAAATAATTATAATTCATACCATAGAAGAATATGAGTCGTAAAATTGGTTTATTAAATAATAATTAACATGTTAATGAGTATAATAAATTGATTTGTATTTTATTTTAATTCTCGAGTACGTTTTTTCATAGTCCGATAGTCGATTTCAAATTTACTATGATAGACAGAACTAATTTATTAGTAGTATCCAGAGCCATATCTAACAGTTAAGAAAAAATACAAAACAATTAAGCTAGAGGGGGACCCTCTTGTACTTACAAAGGATGATAACGATAAGTTAAGCCGGTTCCAATGTTGCGACATATATACAATAGATCAGTGAATTCAATCAAGAGGATATTTCGACATAAGCCAAGATTGATGACACTATTGCTGAGGCAGCCATATCAGAGTATGAACTTAGTGGGGGCATCAAATCTGTCTATGACATATCTTCAAGATTATATAAATATCACTGGTAGGGAACCAATAATGGTATTTTGGAATGGAACAAGGATTTAACAATAATTAAGAGATTATGGTTAAGGGGTATATTAAAGTATTTAAATATAACAAAACATAGTGATTAAAATAATAATGAATTCCATTTAAAACTAGTCAATATGGAATTTAAAGAAATATGTTCCAGTAAAATAAGAACAGTGAATAAAAATAGTAGAATGTTGAATTTATTAGAGACATGTGGATTAATATGTGACATGTATCTCAGTATCACACATTGTCACGATCCAGTGGCTGATGTAGCCATGTAGGTAATTCAATCAAAATGCATTTTTAATCATATAGTAGTATACTATCTAAAATTAAACCAACAACATTATATGGATTACCTATGGTAAGAGGTATAAAAAAATAAATAACAATAATAAAAAATGATTATATATAGGTAAATAGTAAATAAATAGAATACTAGAATACAAAAAGGTAAATKCTAATATAAATTACGTTTGAACGCCTTTGAAATTCATTGAGGAATTAAAGAAAATCATAAGCACGGAAGTACATATCTATAAACTTAAGGAAGATGAAATAAAATCAATAAAACTTACACATTTTGAATTTTTGAAAGCTATAATAGGAGGTTAAATCAACCTTTTGAATTTAAATGATTAAATAAAATAACAAGAGATATTGAGTTATTTATGAAAGACCATTGAAAGGGAGAGTGTAAGGAACTTTRGAAAATAATTCAAATGACACATAAATACCCAATTATCCTAAATAAAAAAATGTAATTTGGTAACTGACTTACTTGTAACAATTTTAATTCTAACTATTATTTACATAGATAAATATATTATAATAATTATTTTGGTGAAGGATTCATGGATATTATTATTAACACAACTATTATTGTAATTATCTTAAGGGCCTAGCCACACTATGCGTTTTGGCGGGTCCGGGTAAATCGGATGCGTTTTGACCAGACGGTATTCACTATGCCACA